ACAAACACAAAACTCCAAAACTTCAGTCGCGCACCAGTCACCACACTGTGTTTAGAGTTTTGTGTTTATCCTTTTTCTCCTTTGTTCCCCTTCTCTAGGGATTATTATCGCTATTATTGTCCAGCTAACTTGCACCTTTGTATTAATTGCATTATCATCATAATCTTAATATAGAGGCCGTTCACACTTGTCAATGTTACAAAGGCGGCAGCTGCTAAAACCTGTTTGCTATACTGACGTCTAACTCCAAGTTAGCTCAGTTGGTAGAACGCTCCACTGGAAATATAGAGGTTTCTTGTTCGATAAAAGGACCAGCTGAATTTTTTTTGTCGCGCACCAGTCACCTAGTCTTTTTTTAGTTTTGTGTTTGTCTTTTGTCTCCTTTTTTACCCTTCTCAAGGGATTATATCGCCAGCCCAATCGGTCTTTTTTTGTGGAACGTTTGAATGCGTCTCGTCTTGTCTCGATTTGCCGACAAAGTGGAGTTGTCCCGGTGAAACTGACGAGTAGCAATCTGTACCGAATAATGCAGGAGGTGACATTCCTTGTTAAATTGAAACAGATTCCCTCACATGCATTTTTCTATGTAGACCTTTACAGCACGAATTGCTAATCGCAATTTTTGAGTTGCAGGACAAGTTGTCGTTTTGTCATCCCATTGTAAATTTCAGAGCAAATGGGTAACAAGTGGTGTAACAGAAGCTACATCTTGGTGCAAGCCGGTGGTAATTTGCTCTGCTTATTGTGTTATTTTTCAGGTTAAAGGTGAATAAAGACAATGCACCTTCTTCACATAAACACGACACTGAGTGTTGCGTGCATACACTCCATTCAGAAGGGTACAGTGATTCATAGAGGGCTTTTGGTTTGACACGTACATAACTGCTTCTTCAACAGTCAAATGCCCTGCTTACTGGTCTTACTGGTTTCAATCCACCACACAACGTTAATTTTATTTTTTATTTAAAAGTTTTTGTGACATGTTTTGTGTACAATAACATCCTCCAGTGTGTTTTCAAATGCCAAATTATCTTTTGCCCAATTTTCTCCTGCCAAATCGACAACCGTCATTTGGTTTCACTGTAGCCATTCTGCTTTCCGATGAAACGTGGATGGCTTGAGGGCATGAAATCGCCAGGCCTATTACTTGTTTAATGAATGAATAAACAATAAATTAAAAAAAAATCTTATTTTCCAATATCCACTTTTATCGAAATCAGTTAACTTCTGCGGCTCATGGATAACTCGCCGAGCCACGGTAAGCAAGTCACACAGATTGATAGTTTGTCTAGAAACAATCGGTCAAAGGGAAATAAAATTCCATCAGTACTCAGGTAGGTCATGTCCTGAAGGCGGTGAACATGAACAGTGCTACAGTTTTGACATCAGGGTGCACATAATTTAAGAAGAACTCAAAGATTCTTTTTATGGCATCAATGTTTAACCATGAACAAGCTACACAGCGTCAATATAAAACGACGAAGATGTGGCCACTGATGTGCGGAAGTGATAAATTACACTTTTTTTTTAAACAGTGGCGTTTAAACTATAATATTAAACTCTGAACATGCCACAAAAGTAAAAAAAAGGGAACTAATAAAAGAAATGTGTTCAGTTCCCACTGGCGTTAAACTTGCAACACACTATGCCAAAAGAACGATAAGATGATGCAATGTATTAGACAGCTTGATTATTAGAATGTGCTAACCTACCACACCAAAAAAAAGCCTTCAGACGTAGGCTTGAGGTTGACATTAGTTTCCTATTTTCACTTCGTACAATCTTGAATTCACTAAAGATGCCTGCCACACACGCAGGTGTGAATAATTTTACCGACATTCCTTGAATTGCCATGCTATGCTGGGAGCAGAACGACAATTTATGTGATTGAAACAGGGACAGATGAGGAAACACAATTATTGCACTGGTTGAAATTATGGCTTTCACTGCTTCGTAAAGTGAGCCTGCGCATGCACAGAGCACTTCTCTAAAAAGGTAATTCAGAGGACTTGATTTAAGGCATAATTTAGAAAAGTTTTGCTCTTACATGGGCTGCCCTGGTATATCTAAGATCTACCACTCTTTGGGCTTTTCACTTTTTCACATAAATGAACCACCAGCACTGTTTTTTCTTTCTTTCGCACTGCTGAACGGGACCCTCTCTTGGAAACCTTTGTTTACTACTTAATTTTAGTATTTTTTGCACTACAAGAGATTGATGCATTGTGTGCAACTGGTTTTCAAGATATTGATTTGCCCTATAATTCAACTGATTTGTGTCATCCAACGATTCTTTTTGAATGCGCTCTAATTGAGGACTCGACTTTTGAGGTGCATTATCGACCTGGTTGAGAAGAAGCTAAGCTGTTACCTGCCTAGGTCTGAAGTGCGAAGAGACAGATGAAAACTCCCGTTTCCTGGAGACACAACCACTTTCATCCAGCCTGCTTTGTTCCCGCGGGTGATACCGAGCAGTAGCTCCCTAGTGATTTCCAATAAAGTACCTCACGGTAACAATTTTGTGCGTTCTCTTCACTATTCCGTACGGTAACGGATAGAGATGTCGCTGCTGTTTTACCGGCAAGGCATGCGTACAGCAGCACAGACAAGACCGGCTTGTGGCAGGAACGTCTCGGGACACCGGTCTTGGCATGCCAGGTCAGCGCCCCACGGGGCGAAAATGGCCAGTCTCAATTCCAGAATCCGGTCGGTCCTGGGAACTCGTCGACCGTCCCTGGCTGTGTTCCAAGTCTTACCCGAGTGACCTGTCTCCTACGTCATCAGACCTCGTGACATCGCGAGTAAACGATCCGCGACTCGATGTTGAAACGCCAGGGTAATCACCTGGATACTACGCGGATTGGCTTTGTCTTGGGCTATGTCAAAAATAAAACACAGCAACGACGGCAGAAAATAGCAGACGATCTCTTTTCATCATGGAGAAAGCACTCGAAGAGACGATAATATTAATGACGACGCCGTGTTTTCTGAGGTGGCTCCACCAGCTCCTCTTGCTCACCTTCCTTTTCCGCTGTATATTGAGATCAGCTAGTCAGAAATAATTTGTTTTTATTAATCAGCGCGATGGCTGTAAATCTAGTCCAGGTGCCCTAAACGCATATGTTCCACGCATCATAATTTGAACCGATTACGTTTTGCAAAAATAGCTTCACATGGTGTAGCGGTAAAAAAGCAGGGGGCTTTCTCAACAGTGACAGGCAATTTATGTTCGCTTTGATGCGAATATGATTAAAAAATACTTCCAAACCGCTATAGGCAATTTCTTGGGGAGGGAGAGAGAGGGGGGCTTGTTGATTGATCATATACATGAAATCTTCGAAGCCTTCACTGCTTTACTAGTATTATCCTCTCATTACACATACCCTGGGGGACACAAAAATACTACCTCATCATTTACTGCGTTCGAACATTTTCAACCCTGAACGTGAGAATACGGCATTCCCTCCAACGCCGAGGGCGAGAATGCGGAGAAGCTGCACTTTTATGATACATTAACAAGTATACCTTCTCGGTGAAGGTGCACGGCCTGGATGTAATGCAGTCAATTCCAGGTTGAAAACAGTAAATCGCAAAAACCACGCATAAATCGCTGCACCTCATTCTTTGTCATTTCGAACGTCCGCTACCAAAGCCTGCGGAGCAAGCGAGCCTTGGCGACTGTCGGCGCAGAAAGCAAACGACGAACAGATCACGTGACGTATTTACTCGATTTGATCCGACGTTACCCCCCGATCGAGGAGGGTAGCGGGAGTAATTACTCTGGAGTAAACAACTCGCTTCCGGAAAGCGAGTTCTGACGTCATCGAGTAAGACGAGGGATCACTTCCTTTTCTCTGTCAGGAAAAGGAGGTGATGAAATGTCGTCATAACCAAGTGGGCCTCTGGTAAAAAAGAGAGATTGTCCTTCCGGCGCGCTTTCAAAGTTTGGATTTGGCTTGGGACAGTTTTCAGAGTAAATTATGGCGATGGATAGCTCGGACTCTGCACTCGATTCAGAACTTCTATGACTGGCTCCCTAGTGAAACATCTTATACATATAAGTAATTGCTTGGTCCAAGAAACACATATCATCAAATAAGATCATATAAAAGCATACAATATTGTTCTCATAAGGTTCTTGGATGGTCTTATATGATCTTATTTGATTATATGCGTTTATTAGACTAAGACATTTCTTATACGTATAAGATGTTTCTCTTGGGTTCAATTTCTCAGTCAAAACGTGCGCTCTATATCCTCTAATAAAAAGTTAATCTGTGAATCTTAGTTAATTACTGATCTTTTATATGCATTAACTCTAACGTAGTGTGCGCCTCGTCGTTCAGCTCATATGCACAAGCCACAATGCTCTTGGTTTGACGTTTTTTCTAAAGAACATTATGTAAACAATAAAAAAAAATAACACCCTGTATGGTGGCCTTTGATCTCTGGCACAAAATGTGTAAACTTTATCGCTTTGTTGTGTATTTGGAGAACACGGGAGTTGTTAGGCTCTCATTACAAGGTAATACTGACACCAACATCAATTTTTTTATTTGTAGTATAAACATGGATCGGTGAACATGTTCTTCATTACTTGATGAATAATACTAAAGTTGCCTTAACTGAATTATTTTATTGGAGTATTAGTACCGTAGATTTGATGCGGATAGACTAGGAATGCTTAAGATACCTACATCTAAAATTTAGTTCTTATAAAGTCAACGAACGCGGTAGTAATTTTTATATGTATAAAAATTACTTCCGCCTGGACATGTTTTTCAACTCGAGTTCCTTTTGAATAGACGTCATTGTTCGAACACAAGACACCAAAACAAATCAAAAGAAACCATTAAAATGACGGAAATGACGACAGCTGCTGCATATTTCGAAAGTTTTACTAATGAAAAGAGCTGGAGCCTTCCGCATCGCACATACATAAAAAGGTGTTCATGAAGTAAACAAAATATTCTGTCTACTGACTTTCTAAGCAATCCAACATGAGGATTACTGTCGGAGCGCTGGCATTCGCATCATGCATTTTTTGGTTTTCTGCTGAAGCAAGGGTTATAAAGGTTTTTAAGAACCGAAACTCAGGTGGGTAATTTATACCTTCATTTATTCTAAAACTGTCCTTCTTTACACGTGATCACAAAGGGAAATGATTCAAGCCCATTGAACATGCTTTGTTCCCAGCGGCAACTGACTTTTTCTAACGTTTGAGTAACTCTGTTGTCGTTTCTAGCAATATTCACAAGCAGCAAAAACTTGTAAAAGAAAAAAAAATCTTTTCGATATTGCGTGAAAACGACGACCCACGTTTTGCTAGAGCAGGTTAGTACAATCTTTTCTTTAAAGGTTAGAGCCCACCACGCGCGTGGCCGGCGCGGGCTCGCCCCCGTGCAGCGCCGCTCTTAAGACCCGTGTACACACTTGCAACCGAGTATGACCAAGACCATGTTTTAGGCCACTTTCGACAGCTTAGCGCCGGAGGCGATGTTGCGGAGCTGGTCCTAAGCCGTCGCAAGAGACTTTAAAAACCGGTCTTCTCTCAGTCGGTCCTACCCGGTTGCAAGTGTGTGAACGGGCCTTTATCGTCGGCGCTCTCTGGGTACAAGATTTTTAAGATCGACGGTGAACTCCGCTCTCGCGTCTCGCTCGCTCTTATAACAAAGTTGCACCAAATAGAGGGTGCACTGTTCGTCTTGGCTGTTCTCGTCGCGTGCCGCTGCAGTTCGGAGGCGCCGCCTTAGCAATTTGTGGTGCGCTGCCCCTGCGCTTTATAAAGCTGTCACAGTGAAATTGCGGATTTGTCTTCCCTTAAACACATTATTATGTTCCGCTGTGGATAAACACGTTCCGTCGCGTGTGCAGGGTTGACATCATTCACCATATTAGTGCATTTATTGCACCTCTGCCGCGCTGCTGGCTGGGAAGTCTGTTGCAGACAGGAGTGCTTGCGAAGAAAGTAGGATTTTCTCTTGGTCGCCATAGTCGTCTACAAAGCCGGAAGCTGCTCGACTTGACATTGGTTTACTCTGCTGTAAAATCCGCGCTCAAGTCAGCGCCGAGGCAGAAGTGCTTTGAATATATTAATATTGTGCATGATGTTGTGCACTTAAAAAGCGATACAACGTGCTTATCCACCGTAAAACATAATACTTCGTTTAGTGTAAGGAGACGGAAGACAAACACGCAATTTCACAGTACAGCTAGCGCTGCTTCATTCTTAAAGGGCTGGGGGCAGCACACCATCACTCGCTACGGCAGCTCCTCAGCATTGCAGTGTCACGCAACGAGCGCAGGAAAGACGCACGGTGCAACAGCCATTGTGCTCCACTTAGTTATCAAGGCGAACGCGACGCGAGAGCCGAAATTCCTCCTTGATCTCAAAAACCTCGCAGTCAGCGAGCGCCGATGATAAAAGCGGGCTGCACGGCAGGAAGCCCTCTCTGGCCACGCGAGCGGTGGGCTCTAAACTTAAAAAAAAGACTGTGCTTTTAATGAAACCTATATCATTATGGGGTTCCCTGAGAAAACTTGTAAAACTACAGGTTAAGACATAAAGAAGCATAATGTATATTCAAGTGAATAACTCACGGACAGCCATTTGGAAGATGCTTGGCATAAATAAGGAACAGAAAGACTTGTAAGTCGACTAATTTACAAACAAAGCAGTGTTACACGTATTCTTTTAATTAGGATTGCATTAGGGGCGTTTTAGCGGTGAAAAAAAGTCCCTTTAGGTGCGCTTCCGTTGTAAGTGTGCAAGGGGTGCAAGATGATTGATATAAAGTCTTTCACTGTGCACCGGACTTTAGAGTAGATTGTAATATAAAAGCATGGCTTGTTGTAGTTAATGCTGTTACCGCGTCATGGCCTTTCTGAAATTTTCGCTCTTAGTGGACTTAAGCAGAGTCACAAAGTTTGTCAACTTGTAACGAGCAAAAAAAGCTTCCAATGAAGACGATTGAAAAGCTTTGATTGCAGCCCATTCATTTGTTTCTAAAGGGTTGTAGCGAGATATGCCCTCCAAAGAAAGCGTTTATCCGTCTGAACGAAAACGAACACAATTCAAGCGCCGGACGGCGATTCAAAAGTTGGTATTCCGTAGGCCGATAATCACTAATACGTTACACTTGTTAGAACTAAATATTTGGCTTTTAAATGCTTCCTTCCACAGTTTGCGCTACTTTACACTGTTCAGCGCATCGACGTGCGTTTTGGTATGACCGATTTGGCGCTAGATATCTTATATGCAGACTTGAGGTTTTCCGGTGTTTTTATGAAGAAAAACCCGGAGATGTACTTACGTAAATATTTAATGTTTCATAATTTCCTTCGGCAACTGCTTCATTCAGACGTAGAAACATTCAGACGTAGAAAGCAGCGATTATTAGTAAAACAATTCCTGATAGACTAAGAAAAAGACAGAGAGTTTACTCAACTTGATAACCTTTAATACGTTTCACACGGACACTAATGCGAAAGTATTTGTAAGTAACGGACGGCAAGTTCGAACATCGGTTAAAGTCTGAGTAATCTTAAACGTGATCACTCAAAGCCTTTTCATTCCTCCTTATTGTGACACCTTTCTGCTTTACGATACAAAACGTGAACTACTTTTAAATTCAATATTTCCGCGAAGAAAAACGGCAAGCTGTTGTTATTTTCACAAGATTTAACCGATTACAACCGGTAGTTCAATTTTTAACACCGCTGTCAATTCTGACTTTAATCGAAGACAAAGTGACCACCTATCTTGACCGAATCACCGACCCAACTCTACTTATAGAAATTACGAAACCCCAAAGAGCGCCAAATGGCACGCTTGCCTTTGCGCCAAACTCGCTGCCGCCAAATCAAATTCGGCCGCGGCCGAATACGAAAGATGCTAAGGTTACTTTCTGCCGCTGGCGGCTATTTTCTCGAATACCCTCAGGGTGTAGCGCCTAAAACCAAAAGGCAAGATGCTTTTATTTTTCCATAAGGCGGCCGTCCCAGTCCCTCCCCTTTGGTTACATCGGTAGCTGTCAGCCATACTTTGTTCCATCTTGGGTCCGATTGCCAGCCAAAGACTGTAAGACAGTTCGTCGTACAGTCTTTGGCAAAAACAGACAGTTGAGACCTGTCTGTTTTTTCTGTCACTTCTGCTCTTCAAAAAAAACCCCAGTCTCAGGGTAAACGACGAAATGGTTGACTGTAAGACAGTTCGTAACTTTGAAAATATCACTCCCTACACAGTTCAATTTAGCCCCCAAAGAAACAATTAGAAAAACTAAAATTATCGTTCTTCCGTAAACGTTCCAAAATATTTTATTAATTCCATGCTAAGAATCCATTTAAAAAAATGTTCACAAAGAGCCATGATTTTTTTTTTTTTAATATTTGCAATGCACGTGGCAAACATATGCCTGCGTGCAACATTGGAGCTTCTTTTACTGCAGCGCACCGTTCTTCAGCGACCCAGTTTCAGCACTTTTTTTCCAGATGGGTTTTCCGCGTGATTCGACGCCCGCAATAGCCGAGCGACGTGCTTTGAAGTTGTCGTCCCCAAAGGGCCTCAAGACTGTCTTCGCATAGGATCATCTGGAGGTCAGGCGCGACAAATCGTATTGAACATCTATATGCAACTTTAACGGCGTGTAGGGACCGCACTATTTTTAATCGGAATGGTCGGATGATCGTCGTTGAACAGCAGTACGAGGTTGGTTCTGCGATGCGTAGTAGTAGCAAGAAGCAATACCAGTTTATGGTAATTTGGAGGGCTTCGAAGGTGTGCTATGATCTTTGCCTCATCAGAGAGGGGAGGGAAATAACAATTTCCATTTAAGTAATTAAAAACATCTCTCGTAGGTATTTCAACCCAGGTGCATTCCGAATAGGATTCTAAGTTCTTCCTTCGGTGAGACTGAACTACGGATGTAACCGCAACAACCCCACCCCCTAGTTTCATTCCCGTGGTATCATAATCTCTGTCTTGTCGATACAGAACATAATTAGACAGGGAATAGTTGAGACTGAAGATGTTAGCACAAAGCCAAGTCTCGGTCAAACAGATTATATCAGAAAAATTCAGCAGCATATTTGACATAAACTCATCTGACTTAGTACGTTAGCGCCTGATATTTTTAATGATAGACCTCAAGTGTCCGAAAAAGTTTCAGTTGTTACATATTCGGGCCTATATACTTTCAAGCTGTCCAGCTTTAAAAAAAAGAAAAAGAAACTGATGAAATATTGAGCTCTCAGGCCAGAGTCCCGGCTGGTTCAAACTATCGAAAACCGAGTGTTCCCCCAAAAGGTGGAACGAGGAGTAAGAGTTAAATTTCGGCTGTAGCTTGGTAACGGTAACAGGTTTGTTGTTATGTCACACACGGTAGTCATCAGACTAAACCTAGATACAAAGAGCGCCTTGGTTGACGATCGGCGGGGTACCGGAAGTGCCTTTTCAGCCCACCGAGCTCCAGCTGAAGCCGGAGAGCGTCGCGTTCGCTGCACAAGCGTCAATCCATTAGGTCCGGTCGCTATGCAGAAATTGCGGGAAAGTCGGAGTCTTCCCAGTTGCTGCACGTCAGGGCAGCGCTTGTCGCCTCGACTGTAGAAGACATGCAAACCTCTCCTTAGGCGAAAGGTGGCCCACCTGACAAGCCAGGAGAGGCTACCGTGGTCGCTGTATACAATGCTTGATGTCTCGAAGCAAGAGACAGATGTTCCAGCACCCTTTTGTCGAGCAGGCTGAGTTCGGAGCGCAAGAAGCCATTTTCAGCCCTGAGTCATTCTAGGTGCTCCTATAACTCTGCCATAAACAAGTTATATTCTTCCATACCCATGCCAATGCATTCGCAATGGAAGCATCGTTTGCACGAGCCCTCGCAACGTAAAAGCTGCTGCTTGCTGTAGAATCTAACGGAGCACGTGCCGCAGACGTCCGTCGGCATCGCTATCATTAACGCTATCATTCGCGCTGTCATTCGCGAGCCTTCTTACGTGGTGTAAACATTACCCTATCGGCAGTGACGTTTCAGACACCAGGCAATGCATACCGGAGGTATGCATCGCGCGGCTGCGCAACGTTATAATGGTCTGTTTCCTAT